CCCCAAAACCCCAAAACCCCAAAACCCCTTGAAACTACTTTAAATCAGAATCATAGTTTGGTTCTAATAAATAAGGAAAATAGAAATTTGACATACAATTAATCTATAATAATGTTTATGCACCTATTTTTATCATTGCATCTCATTTGAGTTTAGGCAACTTATTTGGCATATGCCATTGATATATTTGCTTTGATTTAGCGAATTTATGACAGAAGTAAAGTCGTAAATTAGCTTTTAGACTGTTTTTAGAAAAAGGAGATCCGTATCTTTTAGGCCAAACTTTCATATAGGATATTTTCATCCAGGAAAGATATTCCCCTAAACTAAATTAAATAATAAAAAAATACAAGTTGTGAGATTTTTTGAAGCCAAGAACACATGAAATACTAGTAAAGATGATACCATGAAGAAAAAGCCTAAAATCACAATGACCAATAAGTAATTGAGTATCAATAGTAGCTAATTTATCGATGCTAATGAGTTTTTATTAATCAATACATCTGCACACTATAATCAATTAAGAAAGTCTAGTGATTACAATTAATAAGGCGAATATGAGTTGAAATGATTAGTAAATTAGAAACCAGAAAAAGTTCTTTCTATTTCTCTCACCGACGCAGTTTCCAATCCAAGGGCAATGATGATCATAGGTAGCAACGCAATGGTCGCAATTTTTACAATGCTTACATCTCAAGGGCTGTTCAATATGACAAACGGTACAATATTTGTACTCAACGAATAATATTACATCGTCATTTTCATCATCGATTGGCTGGCTATGTTTTTCTTAGTTACCTTGATTTTCAATTTCATCAGTATAAGCATTTTATTCATCATTCAACTAATTGTGTGAGGTGTTAGATTAAAACATTTGATTCTGTTTATCTTGACGCTTTTTATTAATCTTATTTTTCTTGGAATTAGGAACTGCCATTCCTAGTTCAATATCCTAATAATTATCAAAAGACTCCCCCTCTTCGATTACTGAGTCAATTACTTGCAAGCACATTTAATCGCTTCTCATTTGATATCTTGAAATGAGAGCTCTTTTTTAGATTTCCCCAACTGTATTTTTATTAGCACTATTTTATGCTTAATTAGCTTAAGCTTAATTTAAAGATTGCTGATTAATTTAGAGCTATTTTGGTGAAGTTTAAGTTTGAAACTGCTGGCCAATAATATCATCATCTAGGTTTGTTCTTTCCTATGTCGAAGCATTTATAGTCACAAGTTTATCTTGATCGAATTTCTCCTTAAAGCTAAGTACACTAACATTATTTCTAGTTGGTGAGCTATCATTTTCCTATAAATTCAGCTGATACAAATTATTATTGTTTAAGTTTGCTATATTTTGATCCTCATTTTGATCTTGATATGTATTTAATTCATCATCATTCATAGTAGTAATGGTAGCATTACTCTAGGTGATCTTTTGGGAAATAATCTCATAGACCTTTTTTCTATTTTACTCATGAGAATTAGGACTTTTATTAACCTTCGTCAATGGGATACTTTTGATGAATGATGGCATCCTTTTATGTCCACCAGCAAGGCCATTTTTTTCGGAGTTAAAACTAATAGGTGAGATTGAACCTGTTGGAGTAGTAAGAGTGCTAATTGACTGTTAAATCTTTTCATAGTTAGTTCCATACACGTTCTAGTTACTATTTGATGGGTAAAGTTATGATGGATATGTATCTAGATTTTCTAAAGTTGATTCTGGGAGCACAAGTTGCTGAGGACCTAATTACTTAGATTTATTTCTCTCATGTCTACTGATTTGAAGTCCTTTCGTTAAAACACTCTGTAGAAAATAAATTAAAATGAAATGGAATTATTTACTGTTTTTCTGTTATGATATCCTTTCTTATTGAGCTACCCTTTAAAATTGTTGAGATCTCCAGCATAAACTTCCTTTTTAGTTGGGTCTAAATTTGGATTGTATACACCAGCACTCTAAAAAATCTTAATCAACATGAATTTCTTACTCCTCCGTCTAAGAAATGATTCCCTAAGACATAGCCTGGATTTGTAAATGAACATGAAAGGTAATAAGCAAAAGTCAAGAGAGTTAAGGTGCTAATAAATTTAAGGACAAACCATCTAAAATACATACATGAAGCTAACTGTAGTAAAGTTAAGTTCGAATAAATTAGAGTCATATTAAGATTTCATCAATATCACTATACTTGTAATTTGAATCATGAAATAGCCAACAGGTACAAGACTTTCTAAAATGAGAATGATAAGTCGAAACAATTATAATACTGCATCTTTTATGGTTTTTATAGAACTGAATAGAGGATGAATTGGTGTTGATTGTGTTTTATCCACTTAGAGTACTCAGACTGCTGCTACCTTGTGCCCCTGAGGAGGTACCAACCGTGGGATTATACTCAACATGAGTAGTTTCCCCTGACTTTTGATTTTGTGAGGATTGGGTGTTGGTTGAGGGTGCTGAGTATCCACCTCCAGGAGTTGCATTTTTAGTCTTCTAAGACTCCATTTCTACTGTCAAGAATTATTTAAATAAGACTAAAATATATCAGATCTACATTTATTTCTAAATTCATAGAAATTCCTTGTATTAATCATCATGGGGTTTTGGGGTTTTGGGGTTTTGGGGTTTTGGGG